TGCATATAATATAAATCAAGATTGGATATATATATATATATATATAATTAAAACGGAACAGCAGAGAAAATCCGATCAGAATGACAAAATAAACTAAGCATCTACTGGAAGGAATCCCAATATCTGCAGACGGATCCGTTTCGTCCTTCCAGGCCTCATCAGTGCAGCTAGGGTATAGACCCAAACGAAACGTTCGACCAGCTTCAGTAGGGCCCAAACTAGTCCCACGACCACTAATGATAACAGAGCCAAACAAAGGCAATATATATATACACAGCCCAGGTGTGAATGCAAATAGTGGAATACAAGCTATGTGGCTCGGTTCCAGTAGATACAGAGAATATTTTGTCATTCTTAACGCGTCCTACGAAATTCTTACTAGACAGCACTAGTCCGTGAATTTGTGAACAAGATCGGAGATCTAAAGATGCAATCTCTAACGTGCATCAGTGGCGGCCCGCTGGATCTCAATAGAGATTCTTTAATAATATATAAATTTTAAAAGGCAAATGGGAAAAACCCATAAAACAGCAAACGGCCACATAATGCAAACCTATTTAAAATTAAAACGGAACAGTAGAGAAAAGCCGATCAGAATGACAAAATAAACTAAGCATCCACTGGAAGGAATTCCAATATCTGCAGACGGATTCGTATTTAATGGTGATTAGTCTGCCACCGGCAATCAGCAGATGTCGTTGCGTCGTCTACCGCTCACAGAGATCGGAGCTGAATTTGACGTACGACGATCGTACGGTAAGACGCAGTGAATGTCTAGACACGATTTTGACACAACGACATAATACAGATGCGCGCATTGTTGAAGAATACCGTACAAACTACGCGATGATATATCGTGTCGTTATCATGTCGAGTGTAAATCTAGCTAGAATATTTGTATTCGCTTAATATAACCTTACCACAAGACAGTTTGTCACTCTATTGTGATTTCTTGTTTAAATAATGGTTTGATGAGATTTTTTTATATCTTTATATATTTTTATTTATTATCTTTAAATATAACGAGAAATTCTTAACGAGAGTATTATTAATTTCAATATGAATATTTCACTTGCTTATATTTTCTAGTATTTTATGTATAATACATTGGCCAAGGTACAGAATTCCAATTTTTATTACTTAGGGTAACTGGTCAGTTTTTAGACCTAGGCAATTCTGTGTCTGTGAGGTATGTACAAATGCATTGTAGATTCTAGAAGCACCACTAGCTATAGGCTAGTGTAAATGACCGAGGCCTCATATTTTTTTTTTGTTTCTGCCGATACCATTTGCAGTAATGGTACTTTCATCTCTAGCCTATAGATTTCAGGCCAATTTTCCTTATAATTAGTACCAGTTCAAACAGCGGACAAATTAAACTCTCTCGTCAATGTTTTTTTTTTTCTCTGTACAAGCTCCTTCCTTAGCTCTAATTGTGGCGCTCTACAACTGAAATGAAAAGAGAATTGGATCGAAGACTTATCGACCCCTATTTATTAATCGAACCATCGTTGTCTGTCACAGATAAGATCTCTGATTTAGTCAATGCTTTGTTCTAATCTATTCTTACTCATTTTCTTTCATGGAGCTATAGACCTACATCTATTCTTTTCAATTCTATTATATTCTATCCTTCTATTCTATTCTAGGCCTATATATATTTGATTCTATCTGAACCAAACATATGCTTGAAAATAATACTGTATAATATTTAAGGAGCACAATTGATGTAAACTCTACGATCTTTCGTCAAGCTATGTAAGCTAGCATCCAGTGTTTTGGGCATTGTGTGAATAACGCCCTCTGGTGCCAGCTTTTTCCTATCAGGATATCATCTATGTAAGCTGCCACCAATTAAAGGGTATCTAGATAATACCATTCTTATAGTTATTGCATACCATACATTTACATTTCTGTTAAAATGTAAAAATTTATTTTAGTGAAGGGTCAGTAAAACTTTGAAAACTTGTTTTTCTAAAATCTGTGATTTCAAAAGTTGATAAAGTCCGCGTTTATTAAGTACAGTATGAGCAATATATTTTTTTCTAATTTTTTATTTTTCTCTTGATTTTATGAGTGGTGGTATTATAAAATACCAAATTTTATTCAACAATCACTCTCCTTAAACACTTCTAATTCAAATTACAAAAGCTTTTTTAATATGATCCTTTTTTTTTATTGTCACTCCAATCATAATATTTTATATTTTGTTTTCGTTTGTTTTCTTTCTTGCCATTTTATTGTGATTTTATTTTGTTAGACGGGACCATATTGTAAAACAGTAAATCACTAATTATGCAAAAATGAATAAACAAATATATAAATCGATAAATTTACATTTACCTCGATATACCTATTAAAAAGCATTTTCCATATCATTATATCCGATTAATTATTAGGTATGAGTGAAAATGAAAGCAGGCACACAAGGCGAACGATTTGCTTACAAAACATATCTTTTATAACAATACACAAATAGATCGTAGACTATGATAGTTGGACCTATCCAATCGATATTAAATATACAAATATGTATGCGAGTAGGCGTATTTACATGACTTTAGGCACACGTAGTACACTCCCTCCCTCTAGGCACAACCTCGTTTATTATGTCAAATACATAAGAATCAAACATGGACAAGATGTAAATACTTAAAACTACAGCATCATAGTCATCATTATCGCCACCATCTACTAGATCTTGATAATTACCATTATCATCATCATCATCATCATCATACTTATCCTCACCATCATCACCATCATCATCATCATCATCATCATCATCATCATCAACAACATCATCATCATCATCATCGTCATCAGTTATTTCTCGGAAGCAAATTAAAGAATTTTACTTAAATACTTAAAACTACGACATCATCGTGATCATCATCACCACCATCAATATGATTTTCATCATTATCACTATCATCATCACTCTCGTCATCATCATGCACTTTATTCTCACCCTAATCCTTTTCCTCATTATCATCATCATCATCAAAATCACCCTCATCATCATCACCATCATCATCATCATCGTTCTAATTATGTTTTCATGAGATAGCTTAGCATTATTCCCCATCTGAAAATGGTTTCACACGAAAAACACCGCTTTCACAAAAAATGTTCAACTTCCGGCACAATAATTTCAAAATATTAATGTCAAAAGAATTTTGATTTAGTGTAAATGCTTATCCGAAGGGGATTGGGGTGGTGGGGGCATTGCTCAGGATACATCACTCACTTGGAGCCACTTCTTCTGACTTTTGTTCTCCATCTATTAATTTTGTGTTGTCGTCATCGTTTCGCTGTAGTGACGAGTTATTAACTTTTTCGTCTGCAACATCACCCTCTATATCTTTGCTTGTTTTAACGTCTAACAGGTCTCCTCCACTTGGTTTTTCATCGTCATCGTTTTTCTGTATTGAGTAGCTATTAACTTCATCGTCTGCAACATCACCCTCCATATCTTTGCTTGTTGCAACGTCTAACAGATCTCTTCCACTCGGGTTTACATCAGCATCTATGAACTCTTTGCTTTCTGCTGCATCTGTAGTTACGTCATCGGATTTGTGTATCTTCTCATCCTTTTCATTCATCTCATTAATTATAACACTCGAAGGCTGTTCCAATGAACTTGCGTTAACCCCTACCTTTGAGACTGTGTTGTCGAGGACGCCGCGTTCCTCGTCTTTAGTATTCTCATTTGCTACACCGTTACTGATGCCTGTACCATTTTTGGTGAATGACGACATAGTTATCTGGTTAGGATGTGATATTTCTTCATCGTCACTATCCTCCGATTTAGGGCTGTTTGCATCGAATGTTTGAGTGAACCTTTGGGACCAGCGTCGAACCCTTTGACCAGCCCCGATCACCGACATCTTTTTCCTAAAAACATTAAACAAATAACTCAAAAATTAGGTTGTTATATCTCATAAACAATTTCTTGCTAATGTTACAGACCTTTAAAATAACATCATTAGTTACCGGTTTTCCTCAGAAGCAAATGTAAGAATTTTTGTAGTAAAATATCTGTAAATCATTGAAGATTGAAATATATTTTTTTTCTAAAAACTGTGATTTACTCAAAGCAGAAAACTTTATTTGGTTGGTTTAAAAGAGCTATTCATTAATGAGTTATTTGTTGGATTTTTTGGTAATTTTATATCTTAAGGTGAGGTCCGTGTCACACCACGTCACCATTTTATGCAGTGGCGTAAAGCCCATGAGTTCTCAGTGGTTGAATCCAGAGGTCTAACTTAAGGTACCCCAGAATATTAATTGGCATTTTTTTCCAGGATTATGTTCCAAAATCTCTCGAATGGGACTCTATAAAGAAATATTAAAAATGCACCATTAAAACGTCAGGAATCGACGGTAGCTCCCCGTGCTCGACCCTTTGAAGTAACATTTCACTACAGTACCGTACATAGTAACTTACCATTTCTTGTTTCTACGGTAAAGGAACCATACACATACGAACACGATAATAGCTAATAATATTACGCCAATAGAAAATATGACATACGCTGACGCTGCAAGAAAACGTTATTGTTACTATTGTAATTAACAAAACGATAATGATAGTAATTGGTAATTTCACTGATAAATTATCATATATTTAATTATCATAAGCGGGATTATTATTATTATTATTATTATTATTATTATTATTATTATCTTAGTAAATTATAGTTCTAATTAAATAACAATTATATGTAGGATAATACTAGCAATAATGGTAAAGATAATGACATTATTATTATTATTATTATTATTATTATTATTATTATTATTATTATTATTATTTCTGTATTATGGCTACGTTCAGACTTGGAGATAAGCCAGGCTTGAGTTAAGCCCGGCTTAATTTAGCCAGGCGAGAATTTGCATAATAATGAACCGTAACCAGGAAACGTGTTTCAAAACATTGCTCTCGAAACGTACCTCGCTCACAGCGTACGTAATTGAATGCTGATTGGTCAATTCGTCACCCGAACTCAATGCATGACCCCCAGCAACGATTAGAAAAGTTAAACACGGTGGCGCACCAGGCCTAATTACTATTAGGAACACAGCCCGGCTTGCGATTTTTTTTCCCGTACGAAACATTTACATGAAACTCCACTCGGGCCGTCTCGGCTGAATCGACCCGAAAATCTCATTGCAGAATTCAGGAGGTCAAAAGGTCATCAACAGATTCTGGCAACCCTCCAGAACAACTTCTGAGAGAACGTCGCTGTCTAATTTTTAAAAATACATTGATGTTACCATGTTAATACCAATGGGTCGTTTAAAATGACATATAATATTTGATTAAGCTGCACGAGTAATGAAAATTGTGATTTTAACTTGAGTTACATACTATGACAATTTTAATTTTTTAGTTAGGCCTGGGTTTTGCATAATTACCTAGTCCTACGAGTAGGCCTACTAAAAACGCTTTCTGGGAAAAGCACAAAGAGTAAGGAAAAGCGCGTTTTTCTTCATCTGATCAAATGAAACAGAATGACAGTTATTTTCAAATTAAGAGAAGAGCTGAGAATAGGCAGCTCTAAAATTCTGGATGCCATAAGACCTGGCAAAATGGAAAAACACCAAATGAATGTAAAAATGAGCTAGTTGTTAATATTAGGCATAGTAATCGGCAGGTTCTTGATTACAAGGCTAGACCAAGTTAATTACATGTAATGCCGAAATGATAATAATAATAATAATAATAATAATAATAATAATAATAATAATAATAATAATAATAGTAATAATAATAATAATAATAATTATTATTATTATTATTACGTGTACGTTAAGGGGAAACTTAGACAAAGGGGAAATAACACAAAAGATATTCCCCTTCTAGTTATTATTTAAAGGCCTAGTAAATAGTATCTGTAGGTTCTTCATTACAAGCCTTAGGCCAAGGTAATTAATGCTGAAATGATTATTATTATTATTATTATTATTATTAATTATTATTATTATTACCTGTACCTTAAGGGGAACTTAGACAATGGAGGAATTAGAAAACAATTAAAAAAACGACGTTAAGAGGAGATAACACAAAAGATATTCCCCTTGGGCGATTATTATTTATAGGCCTAGATAGTACCTGTAGGTTCTTCATTACAAGGCTTAGGCCAAAGGTAATTAATGCTGAAATTATTATTATTATTATTATTATTATTATTATTATTATTATTATTATTATTATTATTATTATTTAACATTAATTACATTACAATGATAGTTTGGACTAAGTTCAATAATGCCGGAATGGTATATTATTTACTTAATAATATTTCTCTTATGCGCTCTATTTTTCATTTCATGCTTCAATTTTGTCCCATTTTTTCCCCCAAAATTTCCGTCCATGTCAGTATGTGAAGCGTGACTGTTGTTTCAGCCTATGACCCTAGGCTTAGTTTAAGGAGGGGCCTAGGTAAGACCTCGGCCTGCAGTTAGGCCTATAGTTTATCCTCTTTCTCTCTAGCCTTTGGTATAACTGTACCTATCTACACCTTATAACAGGAGGTACTAGCTGTTGTTGTTGTAGATAATATACTAACATTTAATAACATCCAAGAAGGTCACAATTAGTTACACAGTGACGTACATCACATAAGTCCGTTAAATTTCATAGGCCTACCGTAGGTAAACATAGAAAGAGCAATAGTAATAATAGTAAAACTCGAGCGTCACGACATTGCGAAGTGTCTGCTCTTGTTCCTCGTATCGTACTCACTCGAATCAATCCGAGATGGCCCGAGTGAAGTTTCATGCAAATGTTTCGTACGGAAAAAAAATCGCGCCCGGCTTGAGATAAGTCACTCAGTTCAGACTGGCAGGTGGATAAACCCGGTGAGTTAAGCCGGTTTTATCCACCTAGTCTGAACTAGGCCTTGGATTTATTAAATATTATGATTATAATTATATGGTATGGCAAGGATAATGGTTATTATTATTTGAATCATATTTAAAATGTTAAATAATAATTATAAATAATAACTTGAGTAGTTAAAATCATCATCATCATCATCATTAGTACTGTCATCAGAGTCATCAACGCCACCGCAGCAATAACACATCTGATAAATATAGGTTTCCATAAAATCGCTACACTGTCGGTAAATAGTGGTTTCATTGCTATTACTATGTGTCCCCGACGGGAGTGGGATGCGATCAACGTCACCAACAGCCGCCGGCCAAAGCGTGTAGAAATATTACGGAATCAGGCTTAACTCTAAGCTTGGTACAGTCTTTAATTAACATAATGTTTTGAATAACAGAGCACTTAATATTGTATGTTTTAAATATAGTGTTCTGTACAATAATCATAGTTAGGCCTATAAAAATCAGCTAACTTACTTCCTTTGTACCATTTGTCAGTGGTACCAGGTTCATCAGTATTTTGTGTTTCTGTCGTGATTCTGTTCGTTGGGCTCATGTTGCGATGTGATGTGGCGCGTTTTGTTGTGTAAGCATGAGTTGTGTAGGCGTGTGTGTTCGTCTGTGGTGTGCTTGTATGTGATATGTCGTCTCGTGTTGTGTATGGTAGTGTTACTTTGTTCTGTGATGTATCGGTTTGGGTTGTGTACGTCGTCCGTGTTGTATCCGTCTGTGTTGTGTCCACCTTTGTTGTGTCAGTAGGTGATGTGGCGCGTTGTGTTGTGTATGCCTCTGTTGTGTCGGCCTGTGATGTGTCCGTCTGTGTGGTTTTGTTTTGTGATGTATCGGTTTTGGTTGTGTACGTCGTACTTGCTGTGTCCGGCTGTGATTTGTCGGCCTGTGACGTATCAATCCATTCCGATATTCCGTATGCCTCTGTTGTGTCGGCCTGTGAAGTGCCCGTCTGTGTGGTTTTGTTTTGTGATGTACCGGTATCGGTTTTGGTTGTGTACGTCGTACTTGCTGTGTCCGGCTGTGATTTGTCGGCCTGTGACGTATCAATCCATTCCGATATTCCGAATGCCTCTGTTGTGTCGGTCTGTGATGTGCCAGTCTGCGTTGTATTGGTAAGTAAAGTGTCAGTTTGTGTTGCTACTCTTACTATAAAACACAGGGCGCCATACAGTAATACCTTTAAAATATCTGTAATTTACAAGAGATAAACTCAACTATTAATTACATTCAATATTCAAGATTCAAGAACACTTTATTGTCTCATTTTAAAACAGTATTTTTTTTCTTTTGCAACAGTCTTGGTTAAAAGAGAAAAAATACATGAAAATTCACAAGACAAAACAATGTGACAATGACGAGAAATATGTTAAGATATTAACAAGTTAAAATAGTAAGTAGTAAAAAAAGTCATAATAAAAATCACTGTTTAAAATTGTTTAAAATTTACTATGTGTACCTCAGAGACAGACCAGCTATTTCAGCAAAACTATAAAAAGCTAGCGTTTTGCTATAAAATTAGAATTGAATATTGCATCTGAAATAAATGAATTCCGGTATCGGCAAGTATTTGATTTGGGCACTCGAATCCTAAAACCACTTTTTAAAATTTAATTGTAAATTCCATGGGTGTGTTTTTATCCTTCATTATTATCCGTCGATAGTTTCCCTTTCATTATTAATACCGTGATGCCTATATTATATAGGCTATAATTTGTCACATAAAACTTGACATGGGTAGAACTTAAGGTTTACAAAAATATACCGATATTTGATGAGACGGAGGCTGTCATATAAGTTTAAAATAGAGAAGATTTCTTGAATAGTGGCTTAAATGTGTTTCTCCTTACTAGTTTTCTTTTCCAACTTCCTTATACTGTATAATATTATCTTATAGCGTTTCTCTAACTTTTTTTCTTGTTTGATGTATAAAGTACATGTGCCACTTCCATTTTTTTAAGCCAAAAAGTACCCCACCTAATACAGGTTATTAATTATATCTATTTTATTTGCCTCACCAATTTTTTTTTCTAACATGGCTTCGACGGCGGTCACACACGTGTAACCGTCTCTCGGTTTCTCAACTCGAAAAAACACCGTCAAAAATGAGCGGTAAAGAGCGAGACAACGACAACGACGGGCTATATGCTCAGGAACACGACAAATGAAAAATCAGCGAAAAAGATAATTTCTAAAACAAAAAAACAGAAGGAAATTGAATTAAACAAGGAAGATATGCAAGCCAGCCCCGACGCCATTGCTACAATGAGCAATGACAGTTGTGAACAGCCAGCCGCTACGGTCGAAGAGCCACACGTGGTAAGTACAAATGAATTGAAAGAGATCATGCTAAGAATAGAGGAAAGCCTAAATAAAAGGATGGATGTTATGCAAGAAAGAATTGCTAAATTAGACAAACAAAATCTTCATTATGAACAGAAAATGAACGATTTGGAAAATACTCAAGAGCACCAGGCAAAATTAGTAGAAGATTTAAAGCAAGATCAAATTACAAGGCAAGAATGTGTTAATTCTACAATTGAGAGTCACCATAAGGCTATACTTTTAAAAGAAATTTATGATAGAAAACAAAATCTGTTATTCTACAGCATTACATTTGATACCAAGAGTGATGAATGAACAAGAACGCGGTAAATTGGCATCTAAAGCACATGAGCTACGAAAAAATGGAATGTCTACGAGAATCAGGGTTGTTGGAATACATGTTGTTATGGAATATCGTGAAAGAAACAAACAAGATTCGGCTTGGAAAAAAATATATGGCCTGAATCCGCTTGTGTTTGAAATTGATTTCGAATAAAAAGTTGACGAGAAATCTCCATTTGTGAAGACATCTCGGAAAAAAGGGCCCAAGGGTCTGGGTGCTGTATACTGTGTTATGATTTTTCTGTTACATGTTTTCCATTTTTTTCTATTTTAACTGTTTTTCTTTCTTGCAATTTTCCTATGTATTAAATGCACATATGATAGGTGATAGATCTCTACTAGAAAATAAGGTATTTAACGTATGCATATATAGAATGGTTAGTAATCTAAATATGAATATCGGCCCATATGATTGACTCAAATATTAGTGTTTGTTCGATGAATGCTCGGGGTCTTGGTGAAATGAATAAACGAACACAATTTTTCAACTGGTTTCAAAACAAACCACATGTTATTTCCTTTACCCAGGAAACCCATAGTGTCCATAAAACGGAGAAAGAATGGAGAGATAAGGGATGGGATGGCGATATATTTTTCCCATGGTACTTCTAATAGCAGGGGGGTTTGCATTCTGACTAAGAAACATATTTTAAACATAACAAAATGCTATACTGATGGTAAAGGGCGTATTTTAATTTTAGATACAAGCCTAAATGGTCAAAACATAACTTTTGCTAATATATATGCCCTTAACAAAGATGAACCATCGTTTTTCGAACATGTATGAACGATTCTAAACGAATTTAGCTGTGAATCAATAATTTTTGGCGGAGATTTTAACCTTCTGCTAGATACAAATATGGACAAAATGGGAGGCAGAGTCCACACGCAGTTCAATTCACAAAAATGCATAAAGTCAACCATGAAATCCTTTGATTTGATTGACATATGGAGGGAAAAAAACCCAAATGTGCGTAGGTACACCTGGCGATCATCTAAGCCAATAATTCAGTGTCGTCTGGATTTCTTTCTTATCTCATACAACATTTTTATACTCAGATTAATTCATGTGAGATTGTTAGCGGTTATAAAACTGATCATTCAATTATTAGCTTAGATATTACTCCTGTAAATGGGGCCAGAGGAAGAGGATTTTGGAAATTCAACACTCCTGCATGACCCACGTTATGTTGATAAAGTAAAAAATTGTATTAGTGATACTAAATTGAGTAACCCAAATTTAAACCCAAGTCTATTCTGGGAATTTCTGAAATTCAAAATTAGATCGTTAACGTTACAACACTCTTCTGAACTAGCTAAAAAGCGCAAACAAAAAGAAAACAAATTGCCAGAAGAATTGAATGACTTAGAAAAAATATATTGCACAAATATCGGATAAAATTGAAGTATATAAATTAAATCTTGAGACTATTTATGAGCATAAAACCAAGGGTGCACAGATACAGTCTCGTGCAAAGTGGGTTGAAGAGGGTGAAAGGAACACCCGTTTTTTTTTCATCAATTTGGAAAAAAGAAACCAGAGTCAAAAAATAATAAAGAAAATTGTCCGAGACGACATACCATTATAACTGGGTCAAAGGATATTTTGGAGGAGGAGAAAGAATTTTACCAAAATCTCTATCAGTCGGAGAATCCCCCCGAACCTGATATTGAAGGTCTTCTTTTGCAAAATGAAAACCCTACAAAATTAAATAAAGAGGAAAAAAATCTTGTGAAAATAATATTACAGTGAGTGAATGTCTTTTTGTACTAAAATCAAATTTAATTATAAATCTCCTGGGTCCGATCATGGTCCGATGGACTGCCGACCGAGTGGTATAAATTTTTTTCAATGATATCGTCGATTTAGTGATTGAACCTTGTGAGTATTCATTTAATAAATGTATTATGTCCATCAATCAACGCAGAGGCATAATTAATCTAATACCGAAAAAGGACAACAATCCCTGTTATCTAAAGAACTGGAGGCCAATTACATTGCTTAATACTGACTGCAAGATAATTGCTAAAATACTGGCAAATAGAATTAAAGGACTACTTCCAAATATTATAGATGCTTCTCAAACAGGTTTTTTAAGAGACCGGTTTATTGGAGAAAATATCCCAACTACTCTTGATGTTATTCAGTATTTAAATGAAAAAGAATTGGACGGTATGATTTTCATGGTCGATTTTGAAAAAGCATATGATAAGCTTGAATGGCCGTTTATTTTTAGAGTACTTGAACATTTTAATTTGGGAAAGAGTATTATCAGGTACATTTGAGCCCTTTACTCGGATATCTCTTCATGTATAATCAATAACGGACATTCAACTTCCTTTTTTCCGCTTAGTTTAGAGCTCCGACAAGGGTGCCTGCTTAGCCCCTATCTTTTTATAATATGTAGCGACATTCTTAATATTAATATCCGAAAAAAAAAACGAAAATATAGAAGGCATTACAATAGAAAACATTTCTGTCAAACTTAGCGCATACGCTGATGCACGTATTGGATGCACTTGAGGAATTTAAGCATTGTTCAGGGTTGGCTATTAATTTTGACAAATCTCTGGTGCTCCCATTTGGTGTATTAAAAAAACCCTCCAGACATTTCTTACACGGGGCTAGGTTTTACTGAAGGTCCAGTAAGTATGCTTGGCGTTACTTTTTCTGCAAATTTGAACGATTTGTTCGAATTAAATTTTATCCCTAAGTTAGAAAAACTTTAAAAAAATGCTTTGCTTATGGTCCATGAGAGATTTAACACCAACTGGATAAATCACTATTGTTAAATCTCTTGGCATATCTCAATTTGCATATCTATTTTCTGTTTTGCCTGACCCACCAAACAAATTTATCAAAGACCTCGAATCCATTGTGTTTAAGTTTATATGGTCAGGCAAACCAGACAAAATCAACAGAAAAACATTAATTGGAGACTATGTAGATGGAGTTCTTAGGATGTGTCATTTAGATTCTGTAGTAAAGGGGTTAAAGATAACCAAGATCAAACGATTGCTTAATGAAAAAAATAAGGGAGTGTGGAAGGTATTTTTTGCACTCCATATGAGGAATTTAGGTGGAAATTTCTTCTGGCGATGTATATGAAATCAAACGAAAAATGTTTAAGTAATATCAGAAATCAACTTTTAAGAAATGTGGTGTCAGCATGGTGTGATATTACCTTCGAAACGCCTGTTAACTGCTTTGGTAAACAAATTCTATGGAATAATTCGCAAATTAGAATTGGAGGAAAACCTGTGTTTAATCAAAGACTGTATAAAAAGGGCATTTAGACTCTTGCAGATATCACGCATGTTAATTGTGTAATAATGTGCTATACCGACTTCGAAAGAAAATATAATATAAAAGTTAATTACCTAGATTTTTTTCACTGATCCATGCTATTCGAGCAAATTGGAAAAAAACAATACGAATTAGGTAATGTCTACCATAATGTACAAAGTAATCAAGATGAAATTCTTGAAAGTGTAAAAAAATCACCAAAGGTATGCAAGTTTATATGTGAATTGTGCACTAAAAAGTTATTTAAGACTCCTGTTTCCGAGATGAAATGGGCGGTAGAATTCAATGATCCTGAATTGAATTGGCCTGGTATTTACCTTGCCAAACGTCTTTGTACGCAGTCGACGAGTTTAGGATACTTTCAGTTCAGGTTTTTACATCGAATTCTGCCGGTAAATAGTTTTATTTTTAAAATAAATATTATACAATCTGAAAAATGCACTTTTTTTGTCATTTAGAGACCGAAACAATTTCTCAACTTTTCTGGGACTGAAAAATCACTATTAATTTCTGGAAAGAAATTAACAAGCATTTTGTATTAGATGAAAGTGATTTGTCCTATAAAGCTGTTTGTTTTGGTTCTCAAACTAATGTTCACATAAACTTGGTTATTTTACACGCAAAGTATTATTTATGTATATGTCGATGTAAGAATAAGAAGCCGACATTGTTGGAATTCAAACAGAAACTCTCCTTTGAAAAAGAAGTTGAAAAGCATATAGCCCTAGGAAAAATGTGTCTTTCTAAATGGTGTGATAAATGGAACTTAATTACTCTGTGATTTTGTAATAAAATGACACCCTTGTAGTAAATGTGTATGTCAAATAGACGGTTGAGGTGTTATGCTCATTTATGTAAATTTGGCACAAAAACTCGCCAAGTGTGACACTCTAAATAATAGTAAATTATAGTAATGGTAAAAGTAAATGTAATCCAAGCACGCTTAATTGTAATTAATGCTTTGAAGATATGCAAGGTAAATTATTATTATTATTATTATTATTATTATTATTTTATTTATTTATTTATTTATTTATTTATTTATTTATTTATTTATTTATTTATTTATTTATTTATTTATTTATTTATTTATTTATTTATTTATTTATTTATTTATTTATTTATTTATTTATTTATTTATTTATTTATTTACTTATTTACTTATTTACTTATTTACTTATTTACTTTTTTACTTTTTTACTTTTTTACTTATTTATTTTTTTATTTTATTTTATTTTATTTTATTTATTTATTTTATTTTATTTTATTTTATTTATTTATTTTATTTTTTTTAAATATAGTTCTACTTAAAAGAGGCCTTCTATTATTATATTTCATTTTCTCTATATAGTATGTTACTTATGTTTTATATAAAGTATAACTTATGTGAGTTTCATTTATACATTAATGTGATTATGGAAATAAAAGGCTTGGCAAAGAAAAAAAAACTTAAGGTTTGTAAAAATATACCGATATTAGATGCGACGGAGGCTGTCATGTAAGTTAATAGAGAAGCTTTCTTGAATAGTGGCTTACTGTGTTTCTCCTTACTAGTTTTCTTTTCCAACTTCCTTATACTGTATAATATTATCTTATAGCATTTCTCTAACTTTTTTTCTTGTTTTGATGTATAAAGTGCATGTGCCACTTCCATTTTTTAAGCCAAAAAGTACCCCACTTAATACAGGTTATTAATTATATATATTTTATGCCTCCCCAGTCCCTTTTGCCATTTGTCTGAATTCGGTTTGTTCTCTGCTTTGCTTCCCTGTTTTTCTTATCTTGTTAATTTGTGTTTTGTTTTGTGGTGTCCCTTTAATGTTTAGTTTCTCTGATTTATTTTCAGTCTGTCCGAACCTTAGATTTCTTTCATGTTCTTGGGTCCTTCTTTCTTAAATACTTTCAGATTTTAAGTATATAAATAAAAAATATCTTATGTTGTACCGTATATTTTGAAAAGGAAGTGAGTAGATAATGCATTGAATTTAGTAAAATACCAAGATATATGCCTAAATATACATCAAATTATGTCATCTGGAGTTTGTTTTAACAACTGCAATCTTATCATAGGCCTACGTGAATTATCGTAGACTACATCTATTCGATATGAATATATAATATAAAGGAATAGATTTTTATTTATAACAAAAAAAAAGCAAATATATAGATTAATATAAAATTAATATAAATAAATAACAAAAATAAATGATGTCTTAATTTCGGTTGGATTGGATTGGATTTATTGGGTGTAACCACAAAGGATAACCCACGATAGTCTGAAGAAGACTTATTTCCAGTGGGATCCTTCTGGTGGTGAATGGGCAGTACACCGGGACACAATCCCCTACTCTTTTCTGAAAAGTGTACTGCGTAAATGCACACAGGACCAACGGTTTAAACGTCTCATCCGAAAGACGGTACGCTATCGTAACTTCCATTTCAGCCTCAGCTGAAATACAAGGAGAGCAGCGATAGGAATTCAACCGTTGACCAAGAGATCTTCATGGTTCTACAAATAGCTACCACCATTTTAGCCGACTGAGCAAATCATTGTAAATATATATATATATATATCATTGTAAATATATATATATATATATATATATATATATATATATATATATATGAAAACACCAAGGAATAGCAAGCCAGATTATGCAACGAATCCAGGACTGTGCCGCGGCTAAAGCAAAACGATCGGTTCACAAGGAAGTAAATGAATAAATTCAAATACCAAGGGCAAATGGCAATTATCCACACTAAATTGAGAACAAAACACAGTAACGTCCAGATTCCGTTTTATTATGTGGGAATTCTCATATATTCACGCCGACTGTTTGTATTTATGCTGTTGAAAATTGGTTACAGTATACCGTGATTGTGACGTAGAACATAGACGTGCAGACATCTTGATGTCTAACAATGAGGACAAATCATCGTTATGTTTCGAATTCCCAAAATACGGATGATATTATGAACAGTGTCACAAAAGATTTGTCTCACGGTAAATAGACAACACTGAATATAAAGATTACAATTCTGTATTATCGTAATTCCTAAGAGCTAGGAAAGGCCATATTTAAAGATGAGTGAATCTGGCTCATGGCATGCAGAAAATTGTGATTCGTGCTCTTCAGCTTCAAGATAGTTTCGAATCTCTCGTTGTGCGATTTGCTGGATGTCCTTTGAAAACCACTAAATCCACATTTTCTCTCCCAACCCAGCGATATAGTGGGTAAACGTAGGGAAAGTCTATTGCAGATGCACTTTAATATACGATTACTTTTCAGGAAGCTTAGTGTGCTGTGATAACGCTGTGGTAATAGGTGTTGGTTTCAATGATCGGGTAAATAATGAACGTGAGCGTTGGCCTTGGTATTATGCACTGTAACTATTAACATGTGGGAAACATGTACAATGGCTTGATCTCAGTAGAAATACAAATTTGATAAGCAAGAGCTAATAATTAAACGAAATTAACCAGCCACAATATAACCAGGCCTGGGATTTATCAATTTCAGCTTAGCAAATGTCTTAAGTCAAAAAGGTTTAAAAGGTCCCTAAGCAAATATCTAAAACTGATTTATTAAACCATCTTAGCAAAATCGTCTTATGGTTCATGCGTACAATCGACTTTTTAATTTTAAGCAATTTTGAAGTAGAATACACCACTTTTCATTCACGAACTTGCTGGTATACAACAACACACAGTCGTATATCGCTGATTCCCAAAAACATGCTTACAGAATGCCATGTATATCAAAATGATAAATTATATTTTACATACCTTTCATTTTAGTAGGTGATTAGATATAGGCCTATGTACTAACTTGCCTTCATCAATTCTATTTGTGTTGTATTATGAAATTGTACAACAGCTGTTTTCTGTACCGCTTTACATACAAGTACCGGTATAGTAAGTACGTTGTGGATGTTAAGCTTGATTTTATACTGGGCGAAACGGAAGTAATGCTTAAATTAATACATCTTTTTTTTTAAACACGTCGAGGTGGTTTGTTTTCTATTGACAATGGTTTATTGTAGTATACTCACGTGACATGGGTGCATTATGCGTGAAAAAAAATTATAATACTCTTAAAATAAAATTCCTAGACTTATAGGAAATAGCAGTCTCTGTTTATTGTGAAATTTGATATATTTAAGCAATGATACAGCGATTGTTGACGGAATTCGGAATTTACCGAGTGATGATGTTATCGGTAGGTAGGAGGCATAAACCAAAAACAAACCATCATACCGTAAATTCTCGAAGAAGCCTAATGGTCTTAATCTCAAGAAGGAGCCCATCTCGAATTTAAGCCCTCCATTTTACATTGCAAAGTAGTCTCGAAAATAAGCTCATCTCAAAAAGAAGCCCATGGGCTTCTTTTCAAGAGAGTGGCTTTTCCCGTTTCTTCTATTCGAGGTTTTACGGTGTAAAGCTTAAAGTTATTCGATAGTGTATTTTCATAATGACTATTAGGCCTTATTGTTTAAAATTTTATGTCCAGTTTTCATCGTCGATCATCACGATCATTATCATATAATCTTCATCATATATCATAACAATCATTATCATCATCATCATTATTATCTTTTTCCGTCCTCGTCATCATCCTCCTCCTTTTCCTCATCACCACCACCACCGTCGTCTTCACCATCGACGTCATCATCACCATTATTCATCATTAGTATCATACCCATGCGGTGACAAGGGTTCAGGCTACGTTTTCCCCAGTAAAATTTTTTCTAGTACTTTGTTTTTTCTTTGTGTCCATTTCTTTGTTTATTATAAACTAACCAATTATTGTGAGCTAGGCTTTAAGAGATAGAACCAAATATTGGAATATATAGCTTTATATGATAAAAACCGAGACCAGACGAAGAGCAAGAACTGTGTCGTAAATAAAATATACAGTATGTAAGCAATTTAATACGTTAAATTATGGTTTATACACAAATGTACCGTATAATATACTGTAACTCATTCTTTCCAAGTGACTGTAGTTTAGCTTATGTAGTGCCTTCTATGTAAAAATGTATATCCTACCACAAGTAGGCCGATGAACCATAAAAGGTTCAACCAAAAATTGTCTTCCACAGATGTATGATATAAACCACTGTCTAATGTATAGTAATTGGGTGGTATGCTAATTATTAGTAGATATACGCAATTACAAATATGTCAATGGACTAGGGCAGGGCTCCGGTGTACATTGCAACTTAACATAATTGTTTTAACAGCACCTCTGCATCACACATAATTCTAATTTCAAAAAGCGGGGAGTCATAATTCCAATTTCTAATAATACTGGACAAAAATAAAATAATGCAATAAGCGTTCACGGTAGTTTTATTCAATTTTGTTTTACTGGAAAGTTATAATATCAACATAGCACCATCCAAGATTTCAAAAATAAACGTTCAGTTCCATATGTTGCAGAAACACAAACACCCCAAAAAACGGTACTATTGCAACATTAAGGAGTGAACTCAAAAAGCGGGGAGTGTCATATTACTTCAAATGCTAGAAAAACAGCATTGCTTCGTCTTTTAGAGTTCGACTTGGATCAAACGCCGGTTATTGATACGACACCGGCTTTGCCTATCGACGATGGCCCAGAAGAACCCCGGATCTGACACCAGAAACAACCGGGCATTGATCGATTTAGTATCCAAGCTTTCATCGACTGTAAAAATCGTGCAAAAATTGTCACTACGTTTGTTACTACACACAGAGAGTGAATAACTTTGGTACTACTAAGCCTACCAATAGTATATCCAATAATTATATTAACACAACTAGCAACATTGCCAACGGCATATTTGGCCGAAAACGCATTGTTTACAACGCAGGAAGATTTGCAATAATTTTAATTAAAAAAAAAGAGGATGTCTTAGGACAAAATTCAGTAATGCTCACATCTGCCTGAACTGTAAGGGTGACCATGTGAAAACAACATGTACGACA